CACTTATTAAATATTGAAAAAAATGCAATAATATTGTGTGGGAGTGTGTGTTTCATGTGTGTGAGGGAGATTTTGCAAGTTCATTTGTATCCTTCCTCTCTACAGTGACACACTGAGACTGATATGACATACTGAAATTGCTGAAGTATAGCAGAAAAAGAACCTACATTTGTTCTCCTTGTCAATCAGTACGAACAAAGCAAATAAATTATGTGAACAAGAAAGCCCTCTTTTTTTTCCCCATGTCATTTAAGGGTAGGACGGTGATGTAGAACTTGTTCTGGGAAAATGGGATAATATAACCACTAATTTTATTTATTTTCCCAATAGCACTCAATCACACGTTTGTTTTAATATTGTGGTAAAGAATAGTGACTAATCACTCAGGGAAATGAATGAAGTAATTTGGCAATGTCTGAAATACTGTCTGTTTTCCCTTACAGATGATTATTTAAAAGAGTAATTCCATTATAATCGTTAATGTGGATATGATTTACATGAATAAAAAATGCATATGTACCTACTTTTAAAGACTGGATTACTGTAGTATTTCATATGGGACATCTTCCTGATCCTAGCCTAGATGAAAAAAAGTCTAAAGTGTATAATATATTAGATGCAATGTGGATTGAGACTCATGGCTAAATGTAATTTCCATTCTTCTATTTATGGCTGATGCTTCTTTTTTCAACTATACCATAGACTCAAACAAACAAAGCTTTGCAGATTTTAAATAGTCTTTGTGACCTCAAAAACATTACCTGAAATAGAATAAAATAAGATACATTTATTTCATGTAAGAGTACGGAGCTGCAGTTCTTGCAAGCTGATTCTGCAGTAGTTAATCAGGTGGCTGCCAGCTCCCTCCTCTTCCCTTTGGCTGAAAATGCTTTTCACTGGTCTCTGCACCCAGTTGTAGGAGCTAAATTGATAGAGAACTAACCCTAAAAAAAGGGAAATTTTTCTTCCAGTCCAAATCCCTGGCTTACACTATCAAATGAGATTGTTCACGCAAGCAAGGGATGTCTTGCTGGATAAGGGATCTTCTTTTGCTTCCAGTAGCTCTTAGTCATTAGATGGATTGAACTGTATCACCCAGCTGCGCCAGTGTCTTTGCAGAGAGCCTGTAATAGAACCTTTTTGATATTTCTTCCTTGCTATTTATATGTGGCCACTGCAATGATGGGGATCCTAAAGACAGAAACAGGCTGTAACTTTATTTTGTTTAGCTCTTGGCAACATGCTTTCTTCCTCTTTGTCAATGGCCAGTGTATATGTTGATGCATGACCTGTGCAACTTTCAGGAAAGAAAAGATACAAATGACTGAGCAGATGGGTGGCAGAATTGAATATCAATGTTTAAGTGTTGAGGCTAGGAAAAGGTGATCATGATGAATGATGGTATTGAGATTTTCTTGATTCAATGCAAGGTTTGCATACCTACACTAAATACCTTATATTCATATTTGTGAGCTGAATTGCAAAATAATAATCTTGAATAGTAAATGCTATTCTTCCATGGAGCAATCTTCCCACAAAAGGAGAAGAGTAAGGGTCATAATTTAGTGCCAGATGAGCTGTACAAATGTGGCTGAAATTTTATTCACCTGAAGGAAAGAAATATAAAGGAACAATGAAAGAACAAGAAGAGTTTTATCTCAAATGAAGACTAGTAATTGTCTAGTTTTAGTTTTTTCCAGGAACACGATACTGATCACTGAAGTTTCTGGTTATGATTTATGAGATATGTATTGATGATTTTGCTACATGAAAAAAAGCTGTAAAAGAAGCAGGTTAATTGCAGGATATGTTATTAATGGGTGAGATATAGTTATGCCTGTTTTCCAGCCTCTTACGATACAGTGTTAGATCTTCTGGAACATAATTTATATGTATATTATGTTTTGTATAATCATCAGGAGAACGTTTCAATCTGTACACAGAGAGATCTCTGATTCTCTTTATTCAGTACCTCTCCACAGTGATTGCAGGAAGGGCTACTTGCATTAGCAGCAAATGAAATACTGTTTGCAGTGGCTTTGAATAAAGAATTTCTGTAGGATTACAGAAATGACATTCAGTTCCTCAAACAATTTCTGCAAAGCAAGCAGCCTACTTTGAAGTCTTTGCTAAGAGGAAAAGAAACAAAGACGAAATGTGAATCTCCCAAAGTACTATCCTCCTTTTGTGGAATGATCCAGTGGCTTAATGAGGTAATTTGTTTTAGGTTGTAGGGAATCCTTTATCTACTGCATAGAAGCTTTAATTTCACACAAATGTGACAGATACTGTACTTACTGCACTGGAACTTAATTATTTGATAGCTTAAGGACCTGAAATCCCTATATTTCCTCTCAAGGAATTTTCTTGGCATTTTCTAGATGTCAAATAGAAACTAGATGATGGTTAGCCTAGATTTCTCAGTATTTGAAATGTCTTTGTATGTTTTCCTAAAATGTTTTTGTTTTATACCCAGAAAATTTCAAAGCATCTTTATTAAAGATTCCCCAAATACTATCTATAGTATGTGGTTATATTTTGTTCTCTTCCATTTTTCATGTCTTATCACCCTTTGAAATGCTTTTCTGTATTGTATGTGACTGTTTAATTTCATTGCACTCTTTTTCCATAAAATTTTTACAATGCCTGATTTTCTCCTCCTAAATACTATAGAGGAGGCTTTAAAAATTACTTTTTAAATTTTTTTTTTCTTTTTTTTTTTTCCAATAGCTCTTTTAACTGGTTTTCATTCTTGATGGCTACTGGTGTAGGTTGTACTTTGTTTTCCCTTAGCGGTATTATGGCATTTCTGTAGACACAGTAAAGCAGTGTAAAGCTATATGATAAGAGAGTGAGAACAATGAATTTCAGGATCAGTGATATACAGAATACAAATTAAAACTAATATAGTGAAAAAGTAAGTGGTTTGAAGTTCTAACCTTCTTACCTTATCTTCTTAATCCTACCACTAAATTTACTTTCTTTTGTAGATTCAGCATCTAGGTTTTTTATGTACCTTTCATAAAAAACAATTTATTGAATTTGTGTTAGGATGAGTGGGTATGAGACATTTAATTGCCTATAAAAATTAAAGGTGATGTGAACCTGCAAAAGCAGGATGTGTTTGTTCTGCTATATATTATACATAACCAATATAACCTAGAATAATTTTTTTCCTATTCACAAATAGAGAACTTTACAACTGTTTTATGAAGGAAAAAAAAAGAATGTATTTATTTAAATTGTTTTATTGGCATGTATACAAGTGGAATTTTTTGGAAAAGAATTAAAAGTAATTTTTGGGGCAGCCCATGCTTGTAGTTGTAAAAATGTTTGCTCAATGTCATCAAAGGTATAAAATAACAGAAATTGCAAAGTTCAGGCAGATAGTGTGAATTGCTTTTCTCATCCTCTATTGAATTAAAAATTACAGTTAGAAAGTGAAGAACATCAGTGTTTGTGTAAAAAGAGTTTTTTTTTTTCCTCCTAGATATTTGATTTAAATGTAACATTTTCGCATATCAAAATATGATGGATCATAGGTTAATTCCTTGCATTGTGTTATATCATTTCAGCTGTAGCACAGCATGATGTGGTGGAGTATAATCAAACCTGGCATAGTACAATATATTGAGTGATGACAGAGACCACAGACCATTCACTGGAATCTGTTATGCTGAAAAATGCATAATTCCCCAGTGATATGTCCAGCAGTTTATATTTTGTTAATGAAGACTCGAGTCTAATTGCTATCTTTGGCCTTTGCCTCTAGGAAATTCATGGGGTGCATTGCCCACATCCAGTTTTGTCCCTTCCACTGGCCTTTTAGGAGCTGACACTGTGAACTAACAACAGAGTGAATCCAAACATCAGTGTTGGGCTCCTGTTCTTAGGGCTTTCTCCTTATAGAAGCTCTCATTTGACATCAGGAATATTAAAGGTAGCTGAAGCATTCAGTACACACGCTTTGCTTAAAGTACACAAAAAAGTTTAGTAGCAGCAGAACTAAAGGAGCAGACACATATTGCTTCACTTAATTAGTATTCCTGCCCATACAAGGTTGTAGGTCAATATCAGCTAAAGTTCAGACTTTTTTCTCTTTTTTATGATGGTAATTAACTATCAGGAATATCAGGACCCAGGAATATCTCGTCTTGTATAAACAACTGCTGAAAGTTTGGTTAAAACCTTTCCCAAACTCCAGATCCTTTGGTAACTGGCTGCTGAACCGGAAAGGGTGTTTTGGTAACTCTCCTCTTAACAAATTGATCTTCTCATTGGGCTCCAGCAGTATGATTCTGGTAATCAGAGCAGCATGAATAGGAGTGATAGGTACAGATATGGAATAATGAAGATTGTCCTGTTGCCTTCCTTGTTTGAAAAATTTGGTTCCCTATGTTCCCAAACTTTGCAGTGCCAGATAGAAAAATTTAAAGTGTGATTCCTTAATAGATTTTATTTCTGGATTTCATTTGAGGGTTTTCTCTGTATCCTGCTGGTTGCTCTCTGTCCGCCTGTAGGAAGGTTTTGGGATGCCATGTCAAAGTGTCTTCTGGGCATAGAGACTGGAGATACGGATTCTGAAAACATATGCATGTATGGGTATTTTAGCATTGATATACATTCAAGCTTTCTCCCATAGGGGAAAAAATAAATATTGGTAGTGATACACAGCTGTTTATGGGAGTCCAGAAATTACTGTAGTTTCTAGGTTAGTTTATGTTTCTGCTTCCTGCTTCACTAGAACAGGCCCATACGCAGCCTTGTCCAACTGTTCTTCTTTAGCCAGTGTTTTCTTCCTGAGATAGTTATACTTCATTTGGAGAAGAGACCAACTCTTCATTCTAGTGTTAATATCATTGCAATTTTCATTTCATGTGTGAAAGATTGCCTTACAGAGCCAAGTTTAATGCATTTCTAATTAAAAAAACAAAACCAAATGAAATTATATGATGTTACTTCTCAAAGTTATCAAATCATTCATCTTCTTATTTTCACAGCTCACCATGTTAAAACTGGGACATGTGAAGTGGTGGCTCTTCACAGATGCTGCAATAAGAATAAGATAGAAGAAAGATCACAGACAGTGAAGTGTTCCTGCTTCCCTGGGCAGGTAGCAGGTACCACCCGGGCAGCTCCTTCTTGTGTTGATGGTGCGACTCCTTCTATTGCTTCCTTTCTTTGTGTTCCTAGGAGTTTTTGCTGGCTTAAGGTCATAAGGGCCACTTCAGGCCACTTCACTACAGTTAACTGTTCAAAATAAGGGTAGGAAAGCTGCATTTTGGAGGGGGTGTCCAAGGTGAATGGGAAGAAGATGGAAAAAATAATTATTTGCTATTGGTCTCTGGAAAGGCGAAGCAAAGTTATTAGATGCCAGTGAAAGAGGCCTCTTGAGAGGTTAAATTTGATCTAAGTAAAAGAGGACTCTTGGAGTTGTTTGAAATTCACTTAATTAAAAGTGTTTATGCAAAACCTACGTAAGCATATGATTTTCATGTGCTACAGTCTTAAATCTAATTTATATATTTATCTCACTGGAAAGAAACAAGCAAACAAACAGAACACAGTCTGTTTTTTAATCTTTTTAGACCTATTACTTTTATTCACAGTTCAATTTTAGTGTCTTAACAATTCTGGTGTGGGCTCATATGTTTTATTTGGGAATATACTAGCTGGTTTTTCACAGCTCTTTCTTTGAAAGAGTGGCAGGAATCACCCTTTACATGATCTCTTTAATGCTGATATGTCGTTGGCTGACAGAGAAGCTGTAAATATATCATCGTTGGGGAATAAATTTAATCAAGTTATGCTAGGCTATATTATAGACCAAGCAAAAGAGGAGATGCTACTTAAAACTTTGAAATCTGGCAGAGCAAGATAAAAATGAAGTTGGAAAGAAATGCTGTGAAGAGATTGACTGAAGCACATAGCACCTTTTGCAAATTGGAAACCTAACTTCCTGTGGAGGTTCTGAGGTGGCTGAAAAGCACAGACTAGCTATCTAATATCAACATATTTCTCATATTTCCCTGGAAAACAAAAGAAATGATGTAATGGCATCCTAAAGTGTCCATTTCAACAAAATACAAATACATTTGTTTTCTTCTCTTATAGCTTCAATAGTGGAGCAGAAATGGTGGTGCCACATGCAACCATGTCTTGAAGGGGAGGAATGTAAAGTTCTTCCAGATCGTAAGGGATGGAGCTGTTCCTCTGGGAATAAAGTGAAAACAACTAGGGTAGGTATGATACCAACCTGACATGTTACCAACAAGTTAAAAAAAAAAAAATAAAGTGCACAGGAAATTAGGTGCACAAAGAAGACCTAAGCTGAGAAGACTAAAGAAGCATGGGAAGAGAGTTGTACTGGGATTGGACTTCCTGGTCCCTCACACTTTTCTCAGCATACTTTACAATTGTTTGAACATAGTAAGCTGTGTGCCAGACCTTCTCAGGTAAGCACTGGGGATAGTAGAGTTGATACCTTCAACTAACAGTAATGATCAAATGCATGGTAATCTAATATGTATTTCTCTCCGAAATCAGTTGCACTAAGTCTGTACACTTTGCTAAGCTCTTCATTCAAAGGACAGCAAACAAGCATTTTGTCAATTACATGGAATTACCATGTTTCTACATAGAAACTGCAGAGTATGGTAAGCATTTGATGTATGTCATTACAGCATGATCTGGTTCTTTCTATACTGGATAACTGTGATTTACTAAAAAATTTTGACAGAGCTTCAGGGAGTTCCTTTCCTTCATTTGATGCTTTTCATATTATTGCTTCAAATTTATATTAACAGAAATATATTTAAAGGTCATCATATACAATGCCTGACAACAGAGGCACGTCAACAACAAATGCTGTCATCTTTGCATTTTGGTGGCTAAGAGAAACAGAAGAAAAACAAATTCTTCAGATAAGCATTAAACACACAAACTTCCTAAATCTATGACATTGTATCTTGTCAGGGTCAACAAAATTCATCAACTTACAAAAGATGAAAACGTACTCTGAAGACACATATGCATGTGTGAAAGTATAAACACCTTCCCCCCTGCACCCCAGCACACGTACTCATGACTGATTTTTCTTGTATGTATTTAATAGTTTGTAGTGTCAGGCCATAAGATGCTAGACTGGTGTTTATACAGGTGTTTGAGTATCTATGTAATTTTAGTGAAATATTCCTTACATAGGCACTAAATTTCTGGTACACATTGGTCGTGGTCAAATGTAGCATGCACTGATTAAATTATATTCCTTGTCTCCACAGAGAGCTCTATATGTCTCAGTTTCTGTATTTATAAGTCTCCAAAACATTTTGACATTCTTTGAAGGAAGGATGCTTCCTAAATGTTTGTTTTAAAGTTCCCTCCCTGAATCCTCTTTCAGATATGTCTCTTCTGAAGACAGCCCTGCTGGAATGCTGCTCACACTTAACTTTGTAAATGCTAATGCAAATCCAATAATATGCATGTAAAATGTATGTGCATACATAATATAATCAAAAGGAACCAGATAGATATTTCATAATAATAATAATAATAGAACCAGAACCAGAACTAGAACTAGAACAAGAATTGTGTGTGTTTTGAAATTTTTCCTGGTTACTACTGCATGACACAATTAGTGTTACAGAATACTTGCCACTTTATGTGTATTAAGAGGGTTTAACAAATGGTAAGTAAAAATGTGGGCCTGGATTATATTTCTGTAGGAAAAGAAGAGGTCAAAAAAAGGGAAAAATCAATTATGATTGTTTTGATGAGATTTCTTCTTAAAAGTTTGTCAGGATATGGGTTTATCTGCTTTGGTTGGGAGTTAGGAAGTTTTTTTTGCTGTTAGGAATCTAAACAAGCCCAAGGCTCTTGTCCTCAGAATTTATGCCTTTGTTGTTAGACTTTTAGGTCTGTCTCTTCGCAGCAGCTGGAATTTTCTTGTTCTCCATGGTGGGGGCAATCCTCAGGATTCATTTCATACCCCTTCAGTAATGATGCTTTGGAAAAGCCAGTCCTTTTCTGACTTTTTTTGCTGTTTATTTGCTGCCATAAACACTGATTCAGTACAATAGCTACCATAACCTGCTTACAGACCTAGCACCACTGAAAGGAAAATACTAGTCACCTTCAATCCCCTCTATTGTTTTGCCTTCTAGTATGTCCAGATATTGTATGTTTTCCTCCTTTTTCCTTCATTTTCCAGAGATGAAAAGCTATTATAAGGCAATAGCAAACTTTAGTTCAAATTTCTGACTGCAAGTTGACCTAAGTCACTGCAAACAGTTCAGTGACAGGTGAATGAAGGTCTCTGTCTTTCACATACAGCAACCTGTGATTTTAAGAGACATCATTCTGATGGCCATTAAAATATATATTGCTACTGAAAATATGGGTGGTTCTTCCTGTTAACAGAGTAGCTTATTATCAAAGACCAAGTACTTTTCCCTAATATGTAGTCACTACCATATTTTTGCAGCTTCTCTTTGTGCTCCCCAAGGTCTATATAAATAAAAGGAAAAATTCTAAACTGCTCTTTAAAAAAAAAAAAAATACCCCCCTCTTTTTTTTTGAGAGTAATAAAAATAACTATACAGAAAGCCAGTATTAAGAAGTTATGAATAAGTTTCCAAATTGTCAAATGAAATAACCTATATGTGATTATCATGTATAATGGAAAACCATAAGGAAACAAAGGGAACTGAATAACTTGGGTGATTAAGTAGTCACAGAAAAACCTTCACAAGGCTTTCCTGAAAGAGAAAAAACAGTTTATCTTCACCTCCAAACATTTTCTGTAAGTTTGCCTTCTTCATGTGCCAAAATCCTAACCCAATTTCCTGCTGAGGTTCTGTCATTTACAGGAAACCAAGTTCAAAAGTAGCAGCTATGTTTCCACATCTTGAGCTGTTAACAGTTAATCTTTATGTTAGAAAAAAAAAACCAGTGGAGGAAGGAGATATTTTTATTTGTCCACCTTTTTTTGCATATTTAATCTCACTATTGTAAAAAATTGTGATACTGACTTCCTAATAGTTATGGAATTAGTCACTAAGCAAAAAAAGCCAGATGAAAAATGGCAGAAAACTAATTGATTTTTAAAAATGTGGCATACTTGAGGTTTTGAATTTTGTTCAGTTATATAGATCTAATAAGGTCATACATGAATGATAAATTAGAAGTACTCAGAATTTGAATGTTAAGAAATCTAATTTTGAAATGATTTACCTTTAGAATACAAAACCAGGTATTATTTTCCTAATTTGTTTGCATATTAGTGGTAATAGGGTGATATTAAGAATTAAGCATAGAAACTAATATAGTGAATAAATATAGGGGAAAAATGAAAATATAGGGAATATGGGAAAAAAAATGTGTCTGAATAAGACGAATAGTGATCGTGCTGATTTAGAATTGACTATTTTGGTTCTGTGTAGCCTGCAGGAGAGGAAGGGGGAAAAAAGCAATGACAACTTAGGTAAATCAGTAAATTTTTTCACTTCATATAAAAAAATATGGGCTTGTGTTCCTGGGCATACCACAACAAAAGAGGATGTTCATGAATACATTAGGAGAATTATGAGATGATTATGAGCATAGCTGAGGTTTTACCAGGCACACTTGGGCATTTTCTTTCAGGCTGAGAAACTGTTGTGAAAGGAAACAATTGCATTTTTTTTCCCACAAGGCTGGCCTCAATTTTTGATACATAAACACAAAATTTTGTCATGTTGCCCTCCTTAAATGATGAGAAAAGTGTTTCAAAAAACGGGAAAATCCAATTCTTTTTTAAAATTTGAAATACTCTTTCTTCTACAGTCTCTTTCTAATATAATTATTCTAGTTCCAGAAGTTACATTTCTTGTTTTCTTTCTTTTTTATGTTTCCTTTTTCTTCTTGCAATACAGGAAAGAGCCTGTATTAAAAAAAAATAAAAGTAATTTTCCCATCAGTTGAAAAAATATATTATTATTATATAAAACTGAGAATGACATCTTAAAAATTCTCTGAGTTTCTATCAAAGAGATCAGCCCTTTACGAAGACTGAAAACTAATGTTTTGCAGATAACAGCTGAAGAGAAGGAATTATGTTTTTGTTATGAATTTGTTATGGAGTATATTGCACATCAGAGCTCTCTCTCTGGATAAGGCTTTTCCCTGAGCAGCTCTAGATGCCAGGCTTTACTTGTATTTATAAGATCAGTACAATATACATACAGTAGTAATCTGTATGGAAGTGCATGTTGCAGTTCCTCCTGGGGTCCCAGTTCCCCAGGCACCCATCCTGGGACCATCTTGGAACATGTCATGGCTCCTGGGCAGCTCATAAACCTGTGTGTCTTTCCTGCAGAAATTAGAGAAAAAGAACAAGGTAAAGTGGTGTAGCCTGGGTCTCATCTCAAGATTCTGGAGGTGGAACATGACTGAAGAAGTGTGTACTTGCTCCAGGCAATGGGAGAGTGTTCCCAGGCTGATATTTTATGAACATGTAGAGAAATCTGCATTGGAATTTTTCATGGGAAAAAGTATAGAATGAAATAGGCTATTTCAGTTCAACGGGACCTACAATGATCATCTCATCTGGCAACCCGACCAATTCAGGGCAGACCTAATTAAAACATGTAAATAAAGACAGCATCTAAATGTTTCCTAAAATCTGATAAGCTTAGATGCCTCTCCAGGAAGTTTGTTCCAATGTTTGACTGTTGTCTTGGTAAAGAAAAGCTTCTTAGTGTTCAGTCTAAACCTTCCCTGGTGCAGCTTTGAAGCACTGCCCAGTAATTAAATGGTGGAGACTGTCTTTTTAGTTTCAGACAGAATTTTTCAGTTCCAGAGGACAATTGATTTTGTTCTAAGATAAGTCAGATGAATTGTCTTCTGGAGGTTCTTATGTTTCTCAAAGAACCTAGAGGAAAACTACCATGACTAATTTAGCCCCTAATGTTTAGATACTTAATGTTAAATAGGAAGCAGCTTAGATAATTTAGTCCCTTTGATGTGGTCTTCAGCAGGAAGATGACCATAAAAGCCCATTCATTCCTTGTCAGTTTGGGGAGCTTTGGAATTTGACCACTATCAAATATGTTATACTAAGAGTTTAAGAAATGCTCACATTCTGAAGATGCACAGCTATGAGCTAAATCAATGACTCATACTATGATAAGCAACATGTCCAGTATCTACTACTTACTAAAAATTTGCAACAGTGCATGTTCTTTTAGAATTGTTGGTGTAA